CATTGTCAGCCAATCAGAATTAATATTACTTAATATTACAGTTATACTATATAGTAATATATGTAAGCAATAGTAATAGTGATGTTTGCCAAGCACTGCTAATAATTAAATAGAAAAAAGATGCAAAAGAGAAATAGATACCGTTATCAGGAAAAGTTAGACCACATTATAGTGGCTTCTCTGTGTAGCCATATTTGTGAGCGTCTGCATGTGGGCGTCTGTCCTCTTTTGCTTGGTTGGCATGTGGGTGCTTGTGTGTACGCTCTCACTGTTTGTGGAGAGAAATGTTTGCATTTGTTATGTGTTAGCGTGGGAGTATGTTTGACACACTGTGCATGTATGTATTTGCATATATGCATAAGCATGTGTGTGTATGTACAGTGACGTGGCACTGGCATTGTGAGCACTTCCTGGCATGTGTGCCAAGTATCTGCCTACATGTCTGGTGAGGTGTCAAAGGCCTTCTACCCACGCTAAAGAAAGATCTGGAAGCCTAGCAGCTTGACGAGAGACTACGGCCTCTTTGTTGGCCCTGATTCAACTTCCTTTATGCTGGTGAGAACTGATCCCTGACCAGAATTATTTCTGCTTATCCTTATCTGAGCATGTAAAGTCTGATCTAGGGTCAGTGGTCACAATTATGTGTTTTAGAATGCATGGAAAAGTAGCCACTAGGTGGAGGCAGCTGTAATGGAGTAATAGAATCTGTTCTGATACTGCTTGGTCATGATGAACTACCCTTTGGCCGATGGTGCCCTGAGATTTCTTTTTACTGATTTTTCACCACCATATGGTGGATACTAGACGATCTGGACTGTGGTTACAATTTCAGGCTGACATGGTAAAAAAAAAAAACAGAATTCAAAACCTTGTACAGCAGATAACAATCAGAGATGCAGCATTAGGTTTGTTTGACAAAAGCAAGCCAAAGCAATGCTAATAGAAAAAGAGAAATAAATGTATATTGAGATATCTCTTTGAGAGCAGAGTAACTGTTTATTGTGTGCTATACTTTTTGACCTCCCAAGATTACAATCTGTCATTTTCCTGTAAGATTAGCTCAGGCTATCAATACATGCTTCTGGCTATTAGAAAAGGAGCTGCATTTGGCTGACCTCAGTTCTTCTTTCTGTTTTTCTTCAGCAATTCATAAGGGAAAATCAGTAATCTGGCAGCCATGCTAAGTCAATTTTTATCACATAATTTTATATCCCATTTTATATGCCATTCAAGTGCACAAGAGAAGAAAGATAGAGGAATAGAATTGAAAACAAGGACCCAGATGTCAGCATTTAGATGGATTGGATGATTGTGCATAAAGGTGAATCTCATGAAACGTTAAGAAGTTATATTGTACAGTCTTTATAAATCATTTTTACAATAATAGGAATCTCCATTGAGAAATAATAAACAAATGCAAAAGTAGTACAAAGGAATATGGGAGCAAAATGAGCTTAATTATCATGAGCATGTCACCAAAGACAAAAATATTCATTATGCAAAATATAATTTAACTTTTATAACTTTATATACTTTTTCCATTGATTTTGGGGTGAAATGTGACCTGAAACATTCACACATACAACTTTTAGCACTTCCTTTCAACCACTCCTTTTAAAAACAAGCCCTCAACAGAACTGCCTTTAGGGTAATACTTCCATCATCCTCATGTGTAATATTTAATTATGCAAGCACTTAGCCTAACACAATATAAAAAAATCACACTTTACCAAATGTTGCATAAGCATTCGCCAACAGATGTACAGACAAAGTGGAGTTGTTTTAATTTGTTTTATCCAGATTTGGAATCAAATACACATAATCTATGCAAACAACATAATGTGATATTGTATATACATTTAATTTAATCGATGTATCAAACAATTAGCCCTATAAATGAAAAACCATGTCCAGAAATTAGACTGAATATACAGGCCTATTGTTTTCCTACAAAAATGAATCTATCCAATCACATTTGCTATATCTTAAAATAAACTCTCACAACCACAAAATAAATTGAGTGATAAAAATAAATAAATAAAAAACTAGCTGAGCTGCTCATTTGTACATTTCCTTTCCCAACAGGGTCAAGCAGAGTTCAGCAAACCTGCTCAGAAATGCAACTATCTACATCTTCTGTTGTTAGCTTATGGCATGAGTCAGCAGTTTATGCTATTTATCCTGACTGAAAGCATTTTCACTGGCTATGGAAAGAAGTCCCGATGATTTGTTAGAAATGCAAGTGCTAAAGGCAATGAGAAGGAAACACTCTAGCTTGGCTCTTCGAGGGGAAAAAATACTAGCTATGTACAATAGACTTTATTGGAATTGTTTGTATGGTTTTAGTCCTTTGGCTTGTTTACTTTGCATCGGGGCATGCAGATGACAAAAAGAGAAGGGATGGTTTTTAAATATGGAATGAGGGTAGTTTTCCTCTGGCTGGAATGACCCAGTGGAATTGACCTGATTTTCACTAAAGGCCCCAAAAGGCCTTGGTTCCAACTAGACAAACACCCTGCCTGAGTCCTTTTATTAGTTGGAAAACAAGTCGATACTGTACCGCCAAGGAAGTTTCTACAACAATAATCTCCACTCACCACCAGAAAAAAAGGAAAGTCTATAAAGGGACTGTCTGTAACTGAACAATTATTTTCAGAATTTACCGGAATCATTTCGGTTCTGTCCAAAAGAAACAGTCCAGCGAAAATTACTCATTATTATGCATTACAATTCTCAATAAAAATGTTGGCTAAATGGTTAAAGGAAGTCATTTGACTTGGAATCACTTGCTCACATTGTTTCTTTCATTGACGAAATGGCTAAATTAAGAAAAGAAGCTGTCCTTGGAGGACTGTGATGCAAATATGCTAGTTTGGCCTTCTTGCCTGTAGCGTTTTACATTTCCTGTGAAAGTTTACTGCGTTACGTTGACCGAACCGCTTCCTCTGCTAAGGGATCTGCATAAGGAACGCGTTGTGCTCTCCGGTGCGGTGGAATCAAAGCGTTTTTGCCGACCGCTGCCAAGTCGAGCTTGTGTCATTACTCTGTGAAAATGTATCCTCTTTATGCTGGTCACTTTGAAAGCCAAGCCACAGTAACTCTGCAACTCTCTCACACACAAACACACTCAGACCTCACTCTTGATAGATGAGGTTTAGAGTAGGGTGGAACACAGTGCCCGTAGAGAGTTGCTCTTTGTCAATGGCATCCCGAGTGAGATATGAGTTCACATTAGGCAGCGGAGGGCTCGGGCAGGGGTCGTGCCAGCTTTCCTTGCCTGGGCGCATTCCTCTCCCATTCAACACTTTGGGAACCGGGAACTCGGGACACAAATATCGGCCATCGCCGCACTCTCCCTGCCAACCTGAGAAGCCCTGGGAAGAGAGGAAGGATCTCTCACAAAGCCAAGGTTTGAATAAAGGCTTTTAAACCATAAGTCCCAGAGTTTTTCTTGAACACAAAGGGGTATTTAGTGCTTTGAATTTCATAAATGGCTGTGGGTTACAAGAACGGCTTAGCATGCTTGAAACCAGCAAGGAATGATGAAAGAGAATGATTTGTTGGCTACTGGGTGATCAAGTTTGAGAGCTACAAGCTAGAAATGAACTTCAAAGTCAAAATGAATTGGCCTTCAAAACACGTTTTATTTTCACTGTGTAATGTATTTTCCAAGTAAAACAGTTTTTTTTTTTTTTTTTTTTTTTTTTATTCATTGGAAATTATTTGATCGTGAAAAGTGGATTCTGAAAGACTACCCTTCTCCTGACGCACCTCCAGCACCCACTTTCAAAGAGGCTGAAGATCAAATTCTCAGTGTATCCTAATGTCGGGGGTGTACAATCCTACTTTTTGAGGGCCACTATTCGACTCCAATTCTAATTGAAAATATCTGACCCAGCTAATAAAGAGGTGCTTTCCATTTGACCAAAAGTGCCCTGCCAAGTAGACTGGATAGGGTACTCTGCCATCTTAAGTAAGATTCCAATCTGAAGGGAATGATCAGATTTCTGACCCTTGTCACGGCCTTGCCTGGCTCCTCCTCCTGGCTGTGTGCTGTGTCTGTCTCCTACAGGTGAGCTGGGCGCAGGTGTTTGGAGTTGTGCTAATTAGTTCCTGGTCTGGGCCTTTAAAGACGCTTCATATGAGACCGGGAGCAGAACCAGCCTCCGTTTGCATCTCTCCCGCACCGTTTAGGATTTTTGTTTTGCTTATTCATTTCATTACACTGCACTGATTGCTTACATGTTTATTTTTGTCAAAGCCAACTTCATTACTGGCTGTACAAAGTTTATTCTGTTAAAATTCTATTAATTTAATAAATCTAGTATATTCCTATTCCGTGTGTGGCCTTTCCCTATACTCTGTTGCTTGCTTTGAGCCAGGCTCGTAACACCCTCTATTTACAGTCCACACAACTACCACTTTACGCGTCAAGCACCAAACCTCATTGATTCTTGCTGAAGCTCAAATGTCTGCGTAACACAAGAGAATGAACCTCATTAGTTCACGCATGTCAAACATGCTTGAGTTTACGTATATCATGTGCGTTGATGAATGTTATGTGAATAAAAGCCTAAATTAAATCTGTTCATCATATAAAGTGATGGTGTCACTTCAGAATTTTTTTACAATCTCTTTATGAACTTTTTGAAGCGACAAAGCAGTATGGGACAGAAATCTCTCAGATTTCATTAAAATATCTTCATTTGTGTTTCGAAGATGAAAGAAAGTCTTACGGGTTTGGAACGATGACATTACAGTGTGTTCTGAATGAACGCATTTTGTCAAGTGAAGTGCACTTCAACAGATATCCCGTGCTCAGGGAATAGGGAGCAGTGAACACTGTGTAGGGACTCTCAATCAGAATGCAGCTAAGGTTCTCTATTGTCCCATATTTTTCACTTCTCTTGCTTCCTCTTCAACTCTACTACCATATATCCTCTCTGAAGTCTTGTTAGTCTCCTTTTCTTCACTCATTCTGTCCCTTTTTTTTTGCTCAGGGTAATGGCGGCGAGCTGCTTCTGTACTGCTGCTCCTGCGTCATCGCTCACTTCCCCTCCCGTCCACCGTCGGATGTAAACACACGCAGTCACATGGGAGCAGTACATCATGACCACACACACCCCACAGCGGAATCGCAGGTTTCACAGCTGAGCATGAATCACACACACTCATATGAACTAAAGCAAACCCCTAATCATGCACTCGTCTCAAACACCTTTTAACATCATCACATGCTAATTTAAACTGTAACAACCTGATAAGCAGATGCCTCAAATAAAACAAACATTAACACTTGGACAAACACACCGCGAGCGCGCATTTAAATAGTGCCATTTTCATCAGGAAATGAAACACACATGCTGTTGTTTCTGAGCTGTTCTCTAGAAGCGTACATTTAATATTGGGTTTCCAGTAAAATTTTTGCATTAGCTGGTGTGCCATAGTTGACTCATCAAAAGAGGAAGCTCTCCTCACGTCAGGCTGTCTGGGCTTAAAAATGATTTTATCTGAGCTGAAACTGCATGAGGATTTTGCTTGGAAGTTTCGCCAACACGTTTGGATGAGGTATGTAAGTTAATAGAAAAAAATAGACCAAATTTAACTTCTAGAGAAGGTTCTGGAGCTCTTGTGATTTGCATTTCTATCAATAAGCCTGGTACATCATAGCTGATGACGCACTTCATGATGTCTGTTTGTTTTCGCAGAGCGGGAACACGCATTAATGTGCATACACAAACATCCACACCAAACCTCACCCATGCGTCAGCAGCTCCTGGTTCAATTTCACTGCAATGTTAATCTTATTGTTTTCCTCCATGCAATGGTGAGTAAATGCGCCTTGTTAATTCACCCCAGAGTGGAAATAACTCCTTACAGCACACTGATCCACTTAACTCTCCCCAGAACAACATGACCTCAAGTCGGTTTTTCCCATTCACAAAGACAAGCCAGTCTCATAAATACCATCCTTTTCGGGGAATGTTTACAAAGTACAAAACAATCAGGAAAGCCCTAAAAATTCTGTCACTTATCACTCAAGTGACTTGTAATTCAAGGGACGTCAAGTCAAGTGACTTGACACACAGCCAACAAGTTTCCAAGCCAACCTAAGTTGGAACGGAGCCAGCCGTTTGGCTTACTCTGCTATTTAAGAGACATGCAAGGCACAGATGGAGTTTCAGTGGTAACTATAGTTGTGATCTTTTTTAAAAGTACATTGTGAACTTGTCCCCTCATCTTTACAACATTAACAAACATTTGTTGTTTGAGATCACTTAAATCTAGGGTGACCAGGCTATGACCTGGTAAAAAAAAAAGAGAAGTAAATATGTTCTCGTTTCAGCTGTAACCCTCATTGACTTGAAGGGTAAGTTCACCCAAAAATGCTAATTTTGACATTAATTACTCACCCTCAAACTTTCGTTAATCTTCGGAATGAAAGTCACTATGTTTTCATCACTTTATAAGGTACGTTCTCGTGTTGCGCAGCACGAACCAATGAGGTTTGTTCTCGTGCTTCAAAGCAAGTACGGTTGAGCTTTTGTTTATGGTCGCTGATGAATGTTTATGTGAATAAAAGCCTACAAATCTGTTCATCATATAAAGTGATCGAGTCTCTTCAGAAAATTTTAACTGAACTACCCGATTCATATGGATTTGTTTTACAATCTCTTTATGAACTTTTTGAAGCGTCAAATTTGGTAGTTGCATAGCTGCCAATGGAGGGACAGAAATCTCTCTGATTTCATTAAAAATATCTTCATTTGTGTTCCAAAAGACGAAAGTCTTAAGGGTTTGGAACTACATGGGGGTGAGTAAATAATGATGTAATTTTAATTTTTGGGTGAACTAACCCTTTAAGTATCCCCAATTGGATGACACTACAGAAAAGAAAAGCTGTTTCATTGCCAATGCAAGATGATATGCCAATGCTTTCATACATGCTTTCAGCGAATCAGTTTGAAATGCATGGTTGCCATAACAATATCTCCTCACACCTGCTACTGATCACCATCCTGTCTGTACAAGTACCTTCTCAAGTTAGAAAATGCCCAAACAAATATGCATTTTCAACAACAAGCTGAAAGAAGCCTGTACAGTAGTTCACACAACAGGTAATGCAACTAAGGAGTTTTGCCATCAATGTATATGTTCATTGTATGCTACCCACAGAGGTCAATTCTGGCAGAGGTAAACATGTCAGATGATGGTTCCAGCACTTGTTATATGGAATCACATTTGATAATTTTGTGGTTATTTTGTTTCAAATTATTTTAACCTTATTTTAAAATATTAAATTCACAAATAAATGTCAAAAAAAAAAAGAATAAAAAAATATTTTTATAATATTATTATTAGCAATTGATTATGTGCCAAAGTTTGGGGAAAATAAAAAAAATAGGAGAAAAGTCCACTGACAGCAATTCAAAAATATGTGTATTCTGGGGGGTGGGGGGAGCTTTTGCATATTTAAATAGCAAATATTTTATTTAAGTACAGTAGATGTTTAACTGTGACCGATTCCTTCTTTGGGGGTCCCTTTGGATGGTCATTAGTCACATGGCTTTTTCAGCTCAGGTGATTGGCAGCAGAAGGAGTGTCCATAAGCAAAGATGGTAGATTTCAAAATGTATCCTGTGCCAACTGATTATGTGACATTAAGATAAACCATTCTAGAGGTAGGCCTATAAGTCACATTAATGTAATTTAAGTTGAAATTACTTAAACATCCAATTTGACTGTAGACTTAGCAGCAAAATATTTTTACAGTGTAGTAGGCCTAACGTTAATCCTTCATAATAATTCGCCAAAGTTAATTAAGTAATAAACCTTAGGCTACATAATACAGGCAAGCTATACCCAAAAATATGATTTTTTTTTTAATGGACCATTATTTATAATACATCACCGAATTTGAGATGAGTGATCAAAATTTGCGAAACCGTCACTTGTCAACGACGTTAATCCCCCTCGCCCTTTACCTGCGTGGTTGCTTAGCGACCTGCTACTTTGTGGCAAACCGTTTACGTCACTATCAATAAATCAAAACCATTGCTGCGTTCGGAACATCGGAACCACATACCAGCATACTAAGGTAGTACGAGTATTCACAGTTAGGCTATTCTAGTATGCGATTCCGAATTCAGCACATATTTCACGCACGTTTGCAGCGCAACTCTGTTCGACGCACCCCACGGGCTGGCTCAACCTACATGTTGCGCGTTCTCGACTTGGCAGTGAGCGCGCACGCTCAGATTGTTGTCAAGTGCTCGGGTTGTTTTCCTTCCAATACGACAAGGTAGTGGCGTCGCACGTTATCGCGGATGAATAGCTTAACATACTTTCGCGCTACAATAATGCGCTCTCGACATTGGACAGGATAATAACGCCATATTAACATACTCCGTCGGATATCTGAGGTCTAATTGTTTCAAATATTGATCCACACAGCTGTCGTCTGTTTATAGAGTAGGCTATATTCGGTTAGAATGATCTATTCTAGAAAATAAGCGCGAGCTTTTGGACCTGCGCGCTGACCGAACACTCTGAAATATGTTCATCACCTCGCTCACAGTCTCACTTATAGTTTTTAAACATCAAATAAATTAGTTGTATACTTATTTTAACGCTATATGTCAGAAGCGCAACACAACGTAATGTGTATTTATTCCTAGTGACGCAGCAAACCCATGTTATTGCCAAAACAATAGGCTATTACCTGTAAATTCCTATAGGCGTAAATACATACGTAAACATATTAAATAACATTCAAATTAATTAAAAATCCCAAAAGTCTTACGTGTTCATGAGAGGCTTCGAGCCGGCTCCCTTTTTCTGCGAAGTTTTACTTCATATCGCCGAAGCGCCTGTTCCGCTTTATCTTGTGTAATGATGATGATGATGACGATGGTCCTGAAATAACAGCGCAACTTCTGGAAGTGCACGAGGCTTTACTGCTATAGATCTCTAATGATCCCTCTCGCGTTTCTGGAAGGTATACACCTCAATATATTCAGATAATTGTCCAAATTAAAGGCATAAGTCGGCTGTATGTACGCATATATTCGGTTGCTGACATAACTGCGCACTTACAGGGGGCGCAATGTTGTTCTTTAACAGAAAGTGCTCAGGCTAGAGGTTTTAAACAAGACACCATCCCTATACAGCATTAAATATCGGATAAAAAAATAATAATAGTTCGCCCACAACTTTGGATTTCAATCTGCGCAACAGAGACCGGAATGCGGACGTTGGCAAGGGATGGTAGAGTTTAAGAGCATTAAATGTGGCACATCAACAGAATACCTCATCTTAGCAACGAGACCCGTTGCTTTTTCCTGAGCATGCCTTTTCCCCGTTTCCATTAGCCTAAGGAATTAATGTAGCTACACACTTACTTTATGAGCTGTTCCTCATAACAATCCACACATTTCAGCAGCCAGGAGTTTGCGGCAAACGTGGCATGCATCATATGAAGAAGCCGCAAATAAGTTCACGTGAACGCAAAATCTCTCGTGCGTCTTCTTGCATCTCTATAAAAGTGCGTATTAATATGCGTGGCAGCAGGTGCAGTCCGGTCCGCACTACGCAACCATCACTGGGTGATGTTTGAAATACTGCAGCTCCAGGAGCTCCAACTCTGGAAACGGGGCGTTTACTGGACGTCTGCGTTTCTTTACATTCGTATTTTGTAGCCATGGACACACACACACACACACACACACACTTGCCTTTTCTGTTCGCCGTTTCATTATCATGTCCATCATGTGACATAGTGCTGCCTCCCTCAATGGAAACTTAAAGGGACCTCCTACCGAACTGATGCTGAGTCGTATTCGCAGCAGCCCGTCCCGACTGAGACACTCTCTCTTGGTAATTTAACTCAGTTTGTTTGGGGCAAGCTGTTTGTATATGTTTGTTGACTGGGTGACAAGTATTTTAACATTGATCAAGTAGGCCATATAACAGCTTCCACCAAGAAGTCATAATTGTATGTTAATTATACTAACAATCTTTATTTATTTATTAAATATTCAATTAAATAATACAAAAATACATTATTATTTGCAATAATGATTAATTTAATAAAATCATAAAGGAAATGTATCTCTATATAATATTTATTGTAGGCTATACATTTTCTGTAAGAAATTGTATTAATATATGAATTAGGCTAACAATATACATTTCTGTGCCTTCATCAACAAGTTATTTTATTTTTTCAAATGTCATGGTCTTTTTCATTATTTTAATCTGTAAGGATTTTACTCGTGGTAAAGAGGTTTGTTGTCCCGTGACATCAATTTAAAAAAAAAAAAAGTCATATTAATATTTTTAATAAATTATAAAAGCTAAAAGTGTGGTCCTTATATACGTATGCTTTAGAAGAATTGTTGTATTCCTCCCCATCATTCTTGTAAAAATTTGCAAAAAGTGTGCCTTTGTATAACAATACCCCATGGGACACCTTATGTACCTTTTTTGTGTGTGCAGATTTTTACTGATATTGCAACTACTATATTTTTTGTTGGTGTTTTATTTAACCTAATTGCACATATGTATATATATATTTTTTTTTAAATCAACACGCAAACAGTCCCCATCCATTTGTGGTAAATTAAAAGAGCTCTTGCCAAGTTCTGGCCATGCACTTAGCTGAAATGACATTATCTCTCATTCCTTACATCAGCTTTTTTCCGGTAAAGGACATCATCATGCAGCGTGCCATGATAAACTAAAGGCAGAATGCATTTATCTTGAAGGTCGTTGTGTTCTTCAGTCTCGAATAATTAGCCTCACTGATAAGACATGCACGTCCACAGTGATACAATCATATTTGAAGTTTTTTATGCATGGAATTAGAGAGGATCAGTTCACTCAAACAAAAGAGTGCCTATGTCTCCTCATCCCTCGCTTGGCTATATGAGGATGGGATCGCCCCTTGGGCAGCCTGTTCTCTTGGAGAGTAGCCTCTGGTTCATTTACTTGTGTCAAGAATAGCCTACTTTTCAAGCTTAGCTGCAGAAAATTTGCTCTGAGCCTTGTTGCAATGATGAATAATAGTTCAGCCATTGCTGGATGATTCATTTAAAGTATTACTGTAATCTAGGTCCTATGAAAATATTTAGGTGAAGGAGGAGATGGAAAAGTTTTCCTTTAGCTAACAGTCTAAAATAAGCATTATGTTTTTTTAAACTCACCATCAAATTCAAAATTGACAATTCATTTATTTTTGGAATATTTCAATGTTTATAATAAATGATTTATGTGCACATAATTAGTTTTTAAATAAATTTCATGTGCCCTTATAATCTGATTGAAAAATTCAAAGTTACTTCCCCTACAACGATGAGAGTTGTGTAACATACTTCTATATTTTTCCATTTTTGAGCTATCAATTCTTATTACCCTTCGTATTGCACATTTTTTTCTGGTATTTCTGAATGTTATATAGGACTGTTATTGTTAAGTTTTATATTTGCTATAGTTAAGTGTGTGTTGTGTTGTCTTGTGTATAAGCTACTGGATGCCTTGAATTTCCTATGGGAATAATAAAGATCAATCAAACAATCAATCAATGTAGCGAACGACAATGATCCAACCATCCAATAAATTCCCGATGGATAAAACCAAGGCTGAATCCGAAATCGCATACTTCCTTATAGGTAAAAAATCTAGGCCTATGTGACAAAAGAAGTATGTCCGAGGCTATACTCATAAAAGAGTAGGCAAAAAGTACGCGGATGACCTATTCTTCTGGTGAGATTCTGAAGTTTGCATATGATGAACACATTACTATCCCATGAGGCCACGGGAGAGGATTTGTGAATGGCAGTGAAGCAATGCAATGCAACTGACACTGGTCACAAGATAATGACAACATGGCGAATGTATGTCCAGATTACACACTACACACATCCATACTATATAGAACATGCTTTTTTAGCGGTCGTGAAGTAATTACCTTAAAATAAGTACATACTCAAGAGAGTATGCGATTTCGGACGCAGCCCAAGTGTACAAATGTATTTTTGTTGAGAAGCCATTCACTCTGATAGTATAGCCTACATCACAAGGAAGAAATTACTGTTGCATCTTCTGTTTCATGCAGACTTTAAGCCCGCTGGGATTCCTTCGAAGTTTTACAACCATAAAATAGGCCTTATTCTTATTTACAAACAAAAGAGACTTTTTATTTATTAATTTTATTTTATTCAAATACTCTTCTGTGTGACTGTGGCCCTCATAAAATTTGCCAATGCACAATTTCACATCAGGTAAGTTGCCAGAGATATAATTATTTGACATTATATTGCACAACATTACCAAATAAATTGCTTGGAGGAAAAAAAAACATACGTTTTAAAAAACTATCCATGTTATCAGATTAAAATGAATAAATTCCTTTACCATCTTTCCAAGGACCACACAATGTTTTACTACTGTAAGACTTTAATACTGTGTGCCTTGCCTCTCTGAGTGTGTGTGTGTGTGTTAGTGTGAATGGGTAGCTATGTATATGTGTGTGTGTGTGTATCGTTCGTGCATCAAGATGGCGGTGGCTACTGACAGCAGAGTGCTCTCCTACAGTGTTTATAAATGGAGCTCGTACTCCTCTACATATTTACCCGAGTGAGTAACGCAAATTAAATACTCCCGTTGAGACTCTATTATGCTCTTAATATACAAACACAGTTCATAACTCTGTACTAATTGTAATCAAATCCATTGCTTAATCTAACAAACGGGCCGGCCTACAGCAGACGGGTGCATATACATAAAACAGCCGCAAATGTATAAACTGCAAACAACACAACAAACGAATTCTCTAAACGTACACATTAATTTGCATATAGATGCGCAAAAGTGCAGAAACGGGTCTAAATGTATGTAAATGTGCAGATGTGACAGTCATGTTAGCATGCTAGGCTAGGCTAGTGTGAAGCAGCTCATATGATGCAAAAACACGCCTTCAAGACACCTAATGTGTTTTATTTTACATGTCTTTATACAGATTGTGATGCTCTTTTAAGAACCTGGCAGGTGTCTTACTGCGTAGTATTTGTTATTTATCCTTAAAATATTAATCAGAACTGCAGTATGTAGCCGGTTAGCTATATGGCTAGTTTACTAGTGAACTGTTTTTCAGAAGTAAACAAACCGCAAATCGCTGGAAGCAGTTTTAAATGTTTAATTTTCCTTTAACGTTAGCGTTTCTTACAAATATCAGGTCGAAATGCATCTTAATTACTGTTAGACTGCATACAAGTATTTGGTGGCTAATGCCAAAAATTGTGGGAATATGACACTGATAGTCACAGACTATTTTTATCCCCTCTTTTAATCTTCTTCTGTTACTGTTAATCTACATATTATGTAACAAAACTTTCATGGCAAACTGTATTTCTACTGAATATGCTGTTATTTCTTGCTTTCTATCAAGTGGCAGAGTTTCGAGCAGTCTGTGAATCGCGGTTTTGAAACAGTCAATGAGTTTGTTGGTTTTTGCGGTCTAACATATAATATGCATGCAATTTGTGTATTGGAAAATGGATCATATGTTACTAATTTACATCACTTCTATATTATCTTTGTGTTAGATGTGACAGCTAGAGGCAAATGTGCTGTAGACTGACAAACATGCGTTCATTGCTTTAGTCAGTGGTGAAGCATATCTTGTTGTGACACCTGTGTACCCTTACCAATTTTGTTTTTGCTCATCTCAAGCTTGTATGCTTTATGAACTTTATCCAGCAAGCAGAACTGTGTTGGACTTGCAGTGTTTTTCCTGGGTGAAAAAGGGTCTTCAGTGGTGGCGGACGAACACGGTCATCCACTCACACAGTACAAAGTACCCTACCCATGTGAACTGCAAGCCCAGTACTGGCAATATATCCCAAATACATGCAAAGAAACCATTTCTAATATTAAATCATCTTGTTTATTCGTGAAATAAAAAAGAATCAGGACAGATCATAAAACAATTGTGCTTAGAACTGTTTTATATTTAAAAATCTCTGAGTCTAATCTAAAAGTCACTGAGTCTCATTCACTAAGCATGCCTTGGCGTACGCACAAATTTGTGCGTGAAATGTGCGTACAAACGATTTTAAGAACAAATCACAATTCACCAAAAATTTCGTAATTAAAATTGATTCGATTTACGAAAAAGTCGTAGTCTGTACGGCCTTATAATCGTGTTATAGCCTATTTCATCCTAACATGACTATAATTATAGGCTATTGTAGTATGTTGCATTTATTGTATTATATAATCCATAATATATAAAATGATATTATAAAATTAATTATTAAATAATACAATTTAATTTCATCTTAAATGCATTCCATCATATAGGCCACTACAGTTAGAAAAGCTGCCTTATAGCTCCAGCTGCGAGGTTTCTCTGAATAACGCAGATATATGCGTATACAGCTGGCCAATAAGATAGGCCTATCTGTAATATGGGTCTGTATAAAAGATTTCTTTGCAAAAAAAAAAACGTTTATTGTGAGAATGGCACACTTGGCATTACTCGAGGATCGGTGAGAGCGCCCTGCAAACAGCTGCAAGTTTGACGAGGAATTTAATAATTTTAATAAAGGCTTTAAGGAAAGCGTGTGCGGAAAGCCCTTATATGAAGATTGTTTAGCGTTTTATGCAAATGAGTAACCTTGTGCACACGGCCGCTCATTTAGAATACTCCAAATCCACTAGCGGAACGATTTTAAAGGTGACCTATAATTCAAAATTGAATTTACCTTGGTATAGTCAAATAACAAGAGTTCAGTGCATGGACATGACATAGAGTGAATCTCAAACTGGACTGTTTTCGCGTTCTCATTTAATTCACGTTTATGAAAAACACCCCTGAAAAACGGTCGGTTCTCCACACAATACCGACTGTGACGCAATAGTCGGGATCATTAATATGTACGCCTCCAAATATTTGCATAATGCCAGCCCTCAATGCCAGGCGGAACTGCGCAGCCGAAGCATGGCAGTTGCTCAGTGTGGATGTACACATGAACACAAAAGTATTTTTTAGTTCCTTCATCTGAGCCTCTGAAGAAACAATGGGTTAATTTTATTTTCTCTGGAAATTTCCAAACATTTCACCGAGTGTTTCCTCAACTTGGGCCAATACAGAGCTGGCCTCAGATCGAGCTACCAAGCAACACTTTCTGATGTGTAATTGTTCAAGTTCAGACAGGTAATCTTTCTCTCAAAATCGTTCAATACTGTATGCATCAGTAAGTCAAGCCAGTGACTAAAATATCAGCTTCACATCGTTTCTTTTAGTAGGATGAAAATAATCGTATTTAAATTGTGAACAAATTATATACAGAAAGCGATCAAAGAACAATCTTTCCACACAGCGCAAGTTTATCTGGACACTTGTCAAACTCGTTATGAAATCAATGACGCACGTTACTGCACAACGAAGCTCTTACTGTATTTACATCATCGTGTTTGCATTGGTGAAAGCAGAGAGAGTGCAGAAACTGCTTTGCAATGATAAGATCTTCATTCTCGCGATCAACACACTGTCATCTGCTCAATGCTCATCACGGCAACATTTTATGTGATGGGAATAGATCTAAATACTTTAAAAACATCTCACGATTCGTTAATCTCGATAGCTGTTATGGTAAAAACGTATAATAGCAATAGTAAAAGTATTCGGGAGAGAGTTTCACATGTAATGCGTTGCTATTTCATATGCAAGCATGTCAGCCAATCACAGCAGTGGCCGCGGTTACACTGAATCCCACAGCAGACACGCCCCTTCAAACAGAGTGTTCAAATCAGAGGCTAAAAGCAGGCTAGGAAAAATGCCATTTATTTCTAAATTATGAATATTTTTTATCTAAAAAACATACTAACATTATAAGGGTAACCCAGGAAACATTATAAAATAATAAAAAAAAACATTCTAGGGCACCTTTAAGAACAAATTCATGTGCGTACGGGACAGTACGCGGTGCGTATTGTGAATTGGGCAGAGATTTTTCGTGAGAAGTTCTCCTGTGCGTACAAATCCGAAATAATCCACGCAATTATTAGTGAATGAGACCCACTTAGTGACTGATTTGAGAAGTGAACAACAAAGTAACACATTACATGGAAAAAGTGGCAGGTCTATTATTTTGCATTTATACTCCAAGACTTAATGTGGTGTTTAATTCATCAGCTTTCGAATGTTTGTTTGCAGAAATATATTAGTGGATAAACCTAACGATCAGTCTTCCAGGTGGTCATCTGAGAGCAACTACCCTCCACAGGTAAATTCTGCTCCTCTTTTTCAGTGTTAACCTGAGCTGGATAATAGTTGTTCTATTCAAAGTTTCAGGTTCTGCGAATGCTCTGCAGACATCCCCAATTACATGATGGAAATTCTTAATAATAATAATAGTACGTTTTATTTATAAATCGACATTCCCACACTCAAAGCGCTACAGTTAAAAGTAATTTTATGTTTCAAAAGTAGAAATAATTCAAATATATTAAATATATAATAATAATATTAATAGTAATAATAAAAAATATATTTTTTTAAAAGGTCTCTGCCTTAATGAGTATTGGCATTTGGCTTCAGAGACGTGTGTTGCTCACTGTGTTCAAAGTTGTTCATTATCTTATGCCTGGTTATGTTGAAATTTTCATTCGTTGACACTGTGCCTTGCTTTCATCTTTTTTTGGAAAGAGGAGGCCTCCTCTCTTTGCTGGCCTTGTGGCACAGACCATGCAGCGCAGACAGACTTGTGGTTAAGCAATAAGGAAATCGAAAGTGCATGTTGGCGGTACAGTAGCACGTGCCCTCAACTTTAAACCGCAAAAGCTTGTGTTTTCTTTGTGTCCTTCCACTCTCGTCCTTTCACTTAAAAAGTACAGTCACCCTTCACAGAGTTCAGAACTTGCACTTCCTGTCCTTTTTTTTTTTTTTTTTTAGAAATACTGCTTCATTTGACCACTCTTGTTGTAAATCATTGCAGAAAATTCAATCAATGTTTCATCTGTGAAATGTTCTGAATGTTGTAAAAAACATTTTTTTACCGAGCTCTTAGTGCAGTCGGCCATCAGTGTTGGTGGATAGAATATCTCAGTCAATCTGTGTGAAATAATATTCCCATCTACAATGACAGTAGCCCATTCAGTTTTAGGGTCTATGCAAGGTCTGTTCTGAGCAATACTTGACAAGCCGTGATTGCGGGCTGTTCTGTCATGTTTGTCTACTGTCTACAGTTGAATTGTTTTCATGAGGGCAAAATGAGTAATAGAGCCCCTCCTGTTCACCTGCATCTGAAGAGGGTGCAGTGCACTTGGCACTCGCGGTCCCTGGCCATCAAGTGTTTTCGTATAAGAAACAAAAACACAAGAACAAAACTTCCTTGTGTTCTGTAATTTCAACAGAAGCGGAGATACCATAATGCATTAAAGTCGGCATGAAACGGAAGTTGCGATTCATCTTTTTTCCCCTATTGTGATGTATACACTCACCGCCCACTTTATTAGGTACACCTGTCCAACTGCTCGTTAACACTTAATTTCTAAGCAGCCAATCACATGGCGGCAACTCAGTGCATTTAGGCATGTAGACATGGTCAAGACAATCTCCTGCAGTTCAAACCGAGCATCAGTATGGGGAAGAAAGGTGATTTGAGTGACTTTGAACGTGGCATGATTGTTGGTGCCAGAAGGGCTGGTCTGAGTATTTCAGAAACTGCTAATCTACTGGGATTTTCACGCACAACCATCTCTAGGGTTTACAGAGAATGGTCCGAAAAAGAAAAAACATCCAGTGAGCGGCAGTTCTGTGGGCGGAAATGCCTTGTTGATGCCAGGGGTCAGAGGAGAATGGCCAGACTGGTTCGAGCTGATAGAAGGGCAACAGTGACTGAAATAACCACTCGTTACAACCGAGGTATGCAGCAAAGCATTTGTGAAGCCACAACACGCACAACCTTGAGGCGGATGGGCTACAACAGCAGAAGACTCCACCGGGTACCACTCATCTCCACTACAAATAGGAAAAAGAGGCTACAATTTGCAAGAGCTCACCAAAATTGAACAGTTGAAGACTGGAAAAATGTTGCCTGGTCTGATGAGTCTCGATTTCTGTTGAGACATTCAGATGTTAGAGTCAGAATTTGGCGTAAACAGAATGAGAACATGGAACCATCATGCCTTGTTACCACTGTGCAGGCTGGTGGTGGTGGTGTAATGGTGTGGGGGATGTTTTCCTGGCACACTTTAGGCCCCTTAGTGCCAATTGGGCATCGTTTAAATGCCACGGCCTACCTGAGCATTGTTTCTGACCATGTCCATCCCTTTATGGCCACCATGTACCCATCCTCTGATGGCTACTTCCACCATGTCACAAAGCTCTAATCATTTCAAATTGGTTTCTTGAACATGACAATGAGTTCACTGTACTAAAATGGCCTCCACAGTCACCAGATCTCAACCCAATAGAGCATCTTTGGGATGTGGTGGAACGGGAGATTCGCATCTTGGATGTGCAGCCGACAAATCTGCGGCAACTGTGTGATGCCATCATGTCAATATGGACCAAACTCCCTGAGGAATGCTTCCAGCACCTTGTTGAATCTATGCCACGAAGAATTGAGGCAGTTCTGAAGGCAAAAGGGGGTCCAACCCGTTACTAGCATGGGGTACCTAATAAAGTGGCCGGTGAGTGTATATCTGAGCCAAACGGCTTTTCAAACAAGAAAAAATGTAGGGTGGGACTTGATTTTGTCCATTGAGAATTGATTAGATGGTTGGATTGTAGTGGTTTACTATTGCTGTGATCTCATGTGAGTGACAGGTTGTCCCACCCTCCGACGGGCTGAGAAACAAGACGCTGCAACAGGGAGAGGATGATATTTTGATTTAAAGATTATGATATGAATTAAGTAACGTTCACATATAAATAATTTATAATAAGTACTGTAATATTGCATAAAAAAAAAATAAAAAGAATTGTTGACATGTCATGTCGACATTTATAAGAAAATTAGGTAAGCATCTGCAATGTATTTGTAGTTAGTCAGTTATTTCTTCTGTGCAACAATTTGTTTCTAGAATTTTCCACCCAAAATGGAAAGTGATGGGTACTGTCTGTCAAGCTCAAAAATTATAATATAATGTAATTTATTCCTGTGGTGGCAAGGCTGAATTTTCATCAGCCATTACTCCAGTCTTCAGTGCCACATGATCCTTCAGAAATCATTCTTATATGCTGATTTACTGCTCAAGAAACGCTTATTATTATTATTATCAATGTTAAAAACAGTTGTGCTGCTTAATTATTGTGGAAAATTTGATACAATTTTAATTGAATAGAAAGTTCAAAAGAACCCTGTTTATTTGAAACAGAAATATTTTGTAACAGTAGAAATGTCTTTATACTCTCGCTAATGTGTCTTCGCTGAATAAAACATATTAATTTCTTTAAAAAAATCTTACTGACCCCATACGTTTAAACGGTTATGTATGATAGTTTTTAGGAGCAGCTGACTAACATTTGAGTTATCATTCACTGAAAATTTTCACCCCGAGAAGGCTTTCAAATCTCATTTGTGTTTGTCTTTCATTTCAAAACATCCTTGATGTCAAATCTGGAGTGACTATTAGAACACGGAAGTGTGTATGATACTAGAAATAGGTCTAGATTTGCTGTTGTGTTAAAGGTAACATTTTCTAATTATTATGTGTACAGTTATTATTGATGTTACAAATGACTGTTTCTGCGGTGTCAAAGCTAGAACATTTTGGTTTGGAATTGCTTTGATATAATAATTTATTTTTCTGCTACTCAGTACTTGATCTTAAAACTGGAGAGACCAGCTATCGTTCTTAGCATCACCTATGGCAAATATGAGAAAACTCACGTGTGCAACCTGAAGAAATTCAAGGTGTTTGGAGGCATGAGTGAAGAAAACATGACAGAACTCTTGTCTAGGTGAGTCCGGATGGAAAATGTTAATTGTGATAATCTACTTCCAGGCTAATCTTTATGTCAGATAAGCTTTACAGACTCTTAGCTTTTCGACCATCTTTAGTGGGTGACCAGATATACTTCACTTAGTAATGGGGCACCAGATCGCAAACATTTTATAAAATGGCCTATAGTGTCTCTTGAGACGTGAGTAATGTTTGGGGAAATGGCTTCTTGTGATCTCATGTGATCATTCACTGTCTTTCTCATCTAATCCTAGTGGCCTTAAGAATGACTTCAACAAGGAGACATTCACGCTAAAGCACAAGATTGATGAGCAGATGTTTCCCTGCAGGTTCATTAAAATAGGTGAGTGTTTACAGCAAAAGCAAGCTTAAGTTCTGGTGACCTCGTGTGCTGACACATTTAGGGGAAAGATTAGTCATTGCACGATTTCAGAGGAAGGCAATGAGTTGAATGAGTGATTGAATGACTCTGCAAATCTTAGATGGAACAAACAAGTGCTTGTGTGAAATCTTTGTCAAAAGAGTTCAACAGTCAATGTCTGAGACAGATTTAAAAAAAGAAATTTAGGGTAGGACATTTTGAAATCAAAATGTTTTTTTGAAGCAAGGTACCTGCTGTAAACCTGCAGTTTGTCATCATATGTCTGAATGTCCTTTCTTGATTCTGTCTGTATGTGCTTGGTTGTGTGTACAGTGCCTCTGATGTCATGGGGGCCCAGTTTTAACTTCAGTATCTGGTATATTGAGTTACACGGCATTGAAGATCCAGACGTTGTCCAGCCCTGCCTTAACTGGTACAGTAAGGTGAGTTGTGTCCAAATATTCACCTGCACCAACACTGCTCTTTCAGGGTGAATCTCACAAAGAAATGTTAGGGTCATATTCCACCAAACATTTTTTTTTTTTTTTTTAATCAAAATGAACAAAATTTGAATAGTCAATACATCATCAATCCTTCTTCCAAAATGTGTTTTTGTCTTACCCTTATTCATTATGGTAGGCTGTTTATTTTTTAAACCGGGCGGGATGGTTTTCGCGGGGAATTGCGTACATATGTCACTTGCCTGTGTGTCTCGTCATATCCGTAAATAGAGAGAAGTTGCTCCGGCTACTTTGATGTTTGTGGGTGTGGGAGTGGCAGAGGTTATTTGTAACAACGGGCGAGAAAGGTTGACATGGATCAGCTCAATCTCGAACCTCCGGGGAATCGCCCATATAAAACAAATTAGAACAGAGGTCTTCGTAATAAAATGAGAATCAACATCGGCTTGGCTTTTCCGGAGATGGCGAGAACTGAGGAATTTGAAATGTTGTAAAAGCCAGATAACCAGATTCATCCGCACTGTCACGCAGAGCTGAAAAAGTTCTTCAGCAAAATGCAAGCAGTTTTGTGAGGTTTAACTGCCAAAAGTTACATGTTATACCTTTAAAGATAATCTGGTGAATGTCACTCAACATGTAAACTGAAGTATTAATTAATTCCTGTTTTTTTGTAAGCTTTATTTCAGTAATCTGCGTAATTGCCTTTTTATGCCATAATCATTAACAGTTTTTAAATTGCCAAGCTGTTCCAGTAGGGGAAACGTTCATGTTTTTATAACACTTGCAGACCATTTGCACAGGAAGTTTTACACAATATTAAACATGGATTGAAGGCATGTTACAGTGGGTTTTTTTTTCTGGACAGTACCGTGAACAGGAGGCCATCCGGCTGTGCCTGAAACACTTCCGGCAACACAATTACACAGAAGCCTTCGAGTCTCTGCAGAAGAAAACACGGATCGCTCTGGAGCACCCCATGCTCACGCACCTTCACGAGCGGCTGGTCCTCAGAGGAGACTTTGACGCCTGCGAGGAGCTCATAGACAAAGCCGTGAGAGGTACCCCACCCAGTGTTTCATCATATGGATACGTGCCACATTCATTAAGTTGGGAATGTGGGCATGTTGGTTCACTGTAGGGGAACAGAATTGTTCTGGATTATAATCGTGTTATGTGGCCAGCCAAATGTTTTGTCAAAAAAAGATGATCTACACTCAAAGGTCCTCCTGTTATAAGGGTTTTAACTAAGTTATAATTCTAATATGCCATGCTCTCACTGTTAGAGAAGTTCTGATGTCAAAGAAATGTGACTTTCAATTTAAGAAATTCAATTTACCTATCCCAGAGCTTTAGTTTCTTTAGTTCTATTTGAATAGTGATTATTTACTGTAGCGTATTGTTTTTCACATACTCCCGCCTTAACTAATAGGGGTGGGAATCTCTTGGCACCCCACGATTCGATTAGGATTCAGAGGGCTACGATGCTAAAACGATTATCGATGCATCTTTTTTTGTGTGTGACTACTAAGTACTTTTAAAGCAAAGTATTTATAATGACCCATAAAGAATTTACTTCCAATATAGTTTATTAATAAAACAAATGGAAGTGATTTGGCAAGTCAACTGTAAGGTTACATTTGCCAGCATATGTCCCAACATCGCAAAGAACCAACAGGAAAAAAAATGTGTGCCTGTACTAGCAGCATACTTGTAGGAAATGATTATTCTGAATCTCTAACATAAAATAATAGACTTCTAACCAACATCCTCCTGTTATGTGCAATGAGCAATATAATCCTTCAGACAAAAAATAAATAAACATTTTGCTGTAGCAAAATCACAAACAGATTTCATACAAAAATATAGAATTATGTACCAGCAGCTCTCATACAAAAATAATGGTTATGGACTTATGCATATTCTGAATAATTAGTAACATACAAAGCTGCTCTTATACACAGATAAATAATAAAGAGTCTTAAGACGTATGACTTGAAATTGTTGCTGTATACCACAATCAAAAACTTATAGCTTAAGCTTATACAAAAAAAGTAAATGAACATCTGCAGAGAGCACAGTCAAAATGTGGTTGGCAGTACAGTACACCTACGTATAACAGATCTGCTTACAGCATATTGATGTGAAAACAAAATAATACAGAAAGCAGCTCTCATACAAAAATAGAAAAAAGGCAGCCACAATGGAATTATGCAAATTTTCCATATGTTAGCTTTTAACGAAGAGGGTGGCGTTCGGATTTCGCGCTCAGCCATCATGCGTCTCTGTTATGCGCAGATTGCGCACACCAAAGACTGGCCGGGCACTGCACTTCCGCACTTCAAAGTTACGCCTTTTGCGTTCCGTCAATATTACGTTATTAGAAAGATTTTTTTTTTTATTTTTTTTTGAAAATCGATTTTTGACATTTGTGAATTGATTCATAATCGTCCACGTCCGCATCGCGATGCATCTAAGAATCGAATCCCCCCCCCCACCCCTATTAACTAATTTTTGGCTGTTGTATTGACTGAAGGGTGCAGAAATTACCAAGATATTTGATACAATTTAAATTACATTTCTTTTGCTCAAACAGTAGAGCATGGCAATCGATGAGTTTCGATATCCAGGAAATGTATGAACTCATAAAATATATAATTTGAATGCAGTGCGAGTGTACATCTCTTTGGATAAAAGTGTGCCAAATGCGTACCTTTAAGTGTGATTAACACAATGAGTCATAATGACCAACTTGCTGCTTTTTGTCAGAAACCTGTGGGTGGTGTCACACAAGGACAGTTGAGAACTTTACTTCCCATAACAGTGGTGGTCATATGCCAGTAATAATGTGCAACATAAAAGTTTACCTGGCTGTGATTCGATTTGAAGGATGTGTCCGCAGAGCACCTTTCAAGTAACTGAATAAATGTTTGAATGTTTGTTAACATTTTAATATTTTGCTTTGAAAATGGTTTGTGCTACCAATAAGAAAGTCTGGTACTCCTTGACAGGGATCTAAATTAACTGGAGGTTGTGAATCTCTTGTGCCCTTGCTTTTGTAGTCTCTCTGTCACTCATTTCGATAGAAATCGCCAACTTTCATTGACAGTTAATCACTTGAAGCAGAGATTATATTAAACAGAAACAGTTCACAGGTTTTACATTGAATGGGAGAAAGTGCAACACACAATATGGCCTCTCTTGCAAAGGAAGTCCTGCCTTCCAGAAAGGCCAACTATCAGTCTTTTATGCCTATGTTCATGATACAGTTTATGTCAGGTTTAATTGTTGGTCTAAACAATTCTTGTATGACTGAAATCGCTGTCCAGTGGTGTTGCAAATATGGCCGCTGAGTAAACTTCAAGTCGCTTTGTTGAAAATGATTGAATTAAATTCACTCTACAGACAAAACAAATAGTCTCTCCTCAAGTTCGAGTCATTGGTTGATCCAATGTTGCTGTTGTCAGGCTGGTCAAGAACTAACAAAGTGTTTACAGATTTTTGGGAGGAATCAACACATTAGGATGGGATAGAAGAAAATATTTGACACACTTCAACTTTGATCTTTTGTTCACAGTAGCCTTTTGCATTTTACACATTCTTTTCGTGGTCAAAGTCTAAATTACGGTAATTAGAACCTAATGAACACTTGTTTCCCTTTCAGGGAGCATACATTAGCAAATTAAAGTGCTTTTTATTTGTTCTCTTCCAGATGGTTTGTTTAATCAGTACATCAGCCAGCAGGATTATAAGCCCCGCTGGAGTCAGATCATCCCCAAATGTAACAAAGGTATGACAGCAGGCTACTGAACACACAGCCTCTTGCTCTGAATCTGAACGCTGGACTCCAGGGAATCCATGTCTGGTGTATTAAATGACTTAAGGGGTGTATTGATATTCAATATATCTTCCATGTTCTTGCTTTTTTCCTGTGTCTTGTTCCTGACACACACCTCTTCATTCACTTTCATTCTTTCTCGTTCTCTCGGATTAGGTGATGGTGATGATAACAGGCCAGGCATGAGAGGAGGTCATCAGATGGTCATTGATGTTCAGACAGGTACATCTTACGTCAGGTGGTTTATTTGCAAAGTTTCTGATTGGCTGGTTATTGCAGTGCTATTTAGCTTGTCCTGTCTTGCTTGTAATGGAATGCCTGTTAAGACTGCATTTCGCCCCATAGTTACGAGTTAAGAACTGTTTTAAATTTGTGTGTGAATCTGTGAGCTTGTTATTAGAGGAACAATCGATCCCACAGCCCTCATATGGCCCTGTACGTTCAGACTGACCTCGAGTAACCCACTCTACGGCTCAGCTGATGCTCAATAGCTCAAACAACTGTCTCTGCTTATCACCATGGCGACATCAGCCTTTCAACCTTAGCTCACAGCTGCTTCTCAAGAATATTAGGATTTATAGCAGCTTAAAAAAATACCATAGTAGTTTTTATCCTTTAGTTTCATATTGAATTCCTTACAAAGGTGTAAAACGCCTCTCACTCACCGACGCTTTGTCTTTGTTTTTAATTTGTCATCGCCTCTTTGTCCGACAGAAACAGTGTATCTGTTTGGTGGCTGGGATGGAACGCAGGACTTGGCTGATTTTTGGGCATACAGTGTAAAGGAGAATCAATGGGCCTGCATATCCAGGGATACGGAGAAAGAGGTAAGAGAGAAAGTGAAAGAGGATTTTGTTTTCAATTATGACTCAGCTGCTGAATGGCACAGAAATACCCTAGAGGTTTCAATCATGTCATTTAAGTTTCACATACTTTGTTTTCTGTGCAAAGTGTGTTGATGGATGCGTACTCTTTCATCTGTAAGGTTACTTAGATGGGTATTTTTTGGCGCTTTTCCATTACCAGTACCAGCTCGACTCGACTCGCCTCGACTCGGCTCGCTTTTCGCTCCGTTTTCCATTGCAGAAAGTACCGCCACAAATAGTACCCGGTCGTCATAGCGACGCATTTCGTTCCTCGTTGCCCCATCAAGCTCTCGCTGGATCCTCTCTTCGGCGTATTCTTCCGAGTTGCCATAATAATAGTAGTAAGTTTAGTAACTATCTCTGGCCAAACTATTTAAAAATGGCGGGGTTATTCTGGATACTCCATCTGGCGCGTGCAATGATGACGCAGATTCTCTGTGACCAATCAGCAGTCGGCATTGTTTTCACGTCACATTTTAGCATCGGCTTAGCTCGCCTCAGCTCGCTTAGAACCTCGCCGGAGGTGGTACGAAAAAAAGTACCCGAAAGCAGGTACAGGTACAACTTTTACACAGTGGAAAACCAAACAAAGGCGAGTCGAGTCGAGCCGAGCCGAGGCGAGCTGGTACTGTGTAGTGGAAAAGCGCCATTTGACTCATAGTTGGAATAGTTTGTGGATGAGCAAGAGAATGAAATGATTGTAATGACAAATATGTAGATTGATGGCTTAATGCTGATGGAGGCTTATGTGACCAAGAACCGCCAAGGAACCCAAGGACCCAAAGATTTGATAACATGGACTTCACTAATTTTGGATAATCCAGTGACTAGTTCTTTCTCAGAAATGCCCTTAATCATATCCTGGTACCTTGTAAAAACTTTATTCTCTGAAAAGCGGCTTTCGCACCTGGTAGTTATAGGAACTAAGTTATAAGAACTAGCCACCAGGGCAGTCCTGCGAGAACTAAATGTTTCCCTAGGACCATTTTCATGATTGCATTCACACCGCCAGTTGGAACTTACGTCCTGAAGGCGGTCCTAGAACTAAAATCTCTCCCAGTTCATGTAGTGTGTACACGCCAAAAAGCAGGTTCTTCCGCCATTGTTTATAGGAACTATGAAAAGGTTCCTCTGGTGCAAAAGCCCCTATGGACAGATAAAAAGCTTGAAATAGTGTTTCAACTCAATTGTACGATTTTGAAAGAACTCTGTTTTTGTGTAAAATATGCATCATGGCCTATATGTTGTCTGTGTGTGTGGTGTAAGGGGTGAAAACTATAAAGTTGTGATGTATTTCTTTTAGAACGGCCCCAGTGCACGCTCGTGCCACAAGATGTGCATCGACTCTCAGCGGAGGCAGATCTATACTCTGGGCCGTTATTTGGACTCCTCTGTCAGAAACAGCAAGTCCCTGAAAAGTGACTTCTACTGCTATGACATTGATGCCAACACGTGGACCCTCCTGAGTGAGGACACGTCCGCTGATGGGGGACCTAAACTTGTGTTTGACCACCAGGTACACATTTTAAATGACTCAAAATTATTCAGGATTTATGCTCCCATACCACCAGGAGTCTCCCTTTTACAGATTTATGATGAATAGTTCAGTATCTCTCAGAAAGTTGAACAAAGCTTCTGTCTTTCTCTCTCTAAGATGTGCATGGACTCTGAGAAGCACATGATCTACACTTTTGGTGGTCGGATTCTGACGTGTAACGGCAGCGTGGATGACGGCAGGACGTCAGAACCTCAGTTCAGCGGGCTTTACGCCTTTCACTGTCAAGCTGCTAGCTGGAGTCTGCTCAGAGAAGACTCATGTAACGCAGGGCCAGAAGACATCCAGTCCCGCATCGGACACTGCATGCTTTTCCACACGGTTCGTCTCCTTAGTAACGACTCATGAAGTGTTCTGAACTGCAAAAAAGATATTTTACACGTTGACCTCAAATTTTGTGATTGATTGCATTTGTGGATTGAGCAATATGGGGTGGGCAATATGACCCAAATCTTGAATTACTGTACGAGTAATTTTATATTACTTTAACAAAATATATAATATAAAAAGTAAAATAGTTTTTTTAATATATAAATATATTAGTTTAATTCCCTAAAAAAATTGTTTAGAATTTATGGGTGGTTTTGACAATTTTGATGTGACAGTTTTGTTTCTCTCTCCCGCAGAGAAATCGCTGCCTGTACGTTTTTGGAGGTCAGAGGTCCAAAACATACTTGAATGATTTCTTCAGTTACGACGTTGACGGTGATCATGTGGAGATCATCTCAGATGGCACCAAGAAGGACTCAGGCATGGGTATGATGTCATTAGCAAAAATATATATATATACTGGCTGGGATTTTAAGATTTTTTTTGATCGTTCTGTAAGAATGACTCCTACAAAGCTGTGCCCTGTAAAGAAACTCCTTATAAGGAGAGTATAGGAATCTTGAGCATGAAGGTGACATCATTTTCAGAAATAGAGTTGAATCAGGTGGGGATTATGTCACTGCGGCGGCCTGCTACACGCGTCAGAAGCGAACATGTGATCTATTGCAGCCCTACTGTTCAACAGCTAAATCAACTTGACATCATCTGTCTTCCTGATACTGATAGACACAGATCTGCTGGTCTGGATGATGGTGATGAACGTTTCTTGTGAGGACTGTCATGATGATTGGTGAATATTGCAGCAAATTCCTGAGCAGGGAGAACATGCTGCTCTACAAAGAACACGCGTTCTGCCGCTCATCAAGATATTCGCCTCTGAAGACTCTGCGTAAAATACACATTTTAATAGTTAAAGCCTTCTATAGTAGACCAGATATTTGCAGTCCTAGATGACTACTTTAGTTACTTTAAAAAGAATCTAGAGAAAAAATCAGTGGTTGCAGGCACAAACCTAGGGTTTTCAAGGTAGTTACTAGTGTGTTACTAAAGTAATTTGGATGGTTGTTAGGTGGTTACTTACTGACCCACGTCTCTATGATATTCTGGTCCCTGCAAAAGGGCAGAGAACGCTCCCTACTTGAATATAAGGGCTTTTCTGCATGTTTTAAGTAATGGCTTAATATAACATAACCCCTCTCTTCAAGGTGAATTTGAGGAAGCTTTTTGGGCAGAAACGCAGCAACGTGTTATTGTTGAAACTAAAATGAGAAAAAAATGACAATTTAAAATAAATATTATATGAAAAACTTAAACGGAAATGATAAATGTTAACCGAAAATATAAACATTAAAGCACTTTATAATATTAAATACTATATAGCATATAAATAATACCAAAAAAACCTCATATGAAAACTCATATATAAGAAACATACGTGAAAGCATGTCTTCTCAGCGTCTGCCCTCTTTTGGCACAAATCAACATTTAACAATACCGATTTGATTAAGTTCTCAGAACTTTGATTGACTTCTGGAGAACTGAGTAAGTTCTTAGAAAATACTCTCACGCCTCTGCACTTGCGGTGATTTAACTTACCTAACACGCACTGACGTCAGCTACACACTTGCACACACTATGATACTTGCACACACAATCAAGTCTTCTAACAAAGCAGACATTGTAAAACGTCTCTGATCATCACAGAGAAGAATTCGATGAGTTGACTGGTCATAAAGTCTGCACACCCACATAATGTCCCTCAAATGTTTTCACTTTCTCTATAATCAGTAATTATTGCATGATGTTGTGTCAAGCTCAGAGGGAAATGCCGAACCGAACAGCCAGTTCACAGAGAAGAGAGACTCCGAAGGTGGATGAGTGTGAGAGCTCTGTGAAGCCTGAGAGAGATTGTGCAGACACAGGCCTGTGACACACTTCCTGTTCCCATAAACAGATTGTGTAAAATCTCAATGGGCGACTTGACGCAGTGAGAGAGTATAAAAAGACCTCTGTGTTCTCTCTGTTATCGCGTTAGAGAGAGATGTGTGTGCGACGAGGACAGGGGGTGACAGAAAGAGAACGAGCTAGAAAGGCTGCAGAGAGGGACCAAAATAAGACTGAACAGAATACAATTTACCAGGAAGGAAACAGTAAACCCGAACAGAATGCTCACAACCACACCTTAAAGGAGTAGTTCACCCCCCCCAAAAAAACATTTATCATGTAGTTCCAAACAGGAGTGATGTTTTCTTTTGGGAATGAATAAATTAGAATTACAGGCCAATTCATAGATTAAAATGGTCTAAGCTCTGCTGTGATATTATCATTACTCGTGAATAATTAAGTTAATTAATAATGGGCATGATGACATTGATTTGGTTTGAAACTTGAGATTAGAGGCTGTGTGGATACAAGAGATGTGAAACTAACTGTTAAAAAATCAGTTACCTTGGGTATCTGTGAGTTATACAGTTTAGCAAACATTATACAGACATTTTGTCACAGAATGGGATGATTAGTCAATCCGAATCAAGTATTATAGAGAGCTGTGTAATTTAATTTAATATTATTTGTATTTAAATTATATTCCTTATATATTAATATAATATTGCATTTTTAAACCTTAATAAAAATTAATGCTTAAAATATTTCATAAATATAATATAAATGTTAATGTAATAGAGAGAAAATGCAAAATATATAAAAAATGTTTTGAATATTGAATTATTAATATTCAATTTAAAAAGTGGTTCATTCACTCACAAAGCACAAATGCAGTATTTATAGTTTATATTATTAAAATGATAAATTATTATATTTTCTTTAATACTTTCATATTGATATAATAAATGTTATTAAACATTAATAAACATTAATACTTGTCATTAAATATTTCATTAATATATTGATATGAATGTAATAAATAATGCAAAATGCAACTTCATGACTGATTTAAGAATAAAAAAACTATATATATATTTTATTTGCTCACCATTGGTGGAAATTTACAAGCGGAACATGGTTCCACTTGGTGGAAAATTTGTTGAGTTTGGCTGAAACCATAGAGAAAAATATAAGTGATTTACATGTTATTTACAAACGATTACACCAAGCTGCTGTCATCATGACACTTTAGCCTCTTTATACCATCTCTTAATGTTTTAAGTTTAAGTGCGTCTGTGTTTGTGTTGCAGTACCAATGACCGGGTTCACTCAGCGTGCCACCATCGACCCGGAGCTCAATGAGATCCACGTTCTGTCAGGACTCAGCAAAGACAAAGACAAACGCGAGGAGAATGTGCGCAACTCCTTCTGGATCTACGACATTGCACGCAACAACTGGTGCGTGAGTTCTCGGACACGCTCTTCATCTGTGCAACATTGCATGCTAATGAGTACACAAGACCTGTGCTTGTACGCTGTGTCCCTGAGGACTGTCTGCATTGGTAATCCACAACGTGCCTTCAGGCGCTTCATTCCTGAGGTTTCAGATTGCCATACACTGCTGCAAAGGAAGAAAATCTTCTGTTATGATGAGAGAACATGTTCTCTCTTTTCCTGAACTGTATTTTCTCTTTGCAGTGCATTAAAAAGGCAGCACTGAATGATGAGCGTATAATGCCCGTAAAAGTATCATACAAAGACCGCTTATAAAAATTGTTCTCAGCTTGAATGCACACTCGCATATATTGAATAAAGCCAGAGTGAAAATATCATTTCAAAGGCCAGACTGACCTTCAGCAAGGGAGTTGGTGACTATCAAACAGGAACAGAATGTTCTCTGCTTGTGTGTGGGGCTGAACTCTTGTGTGTGTGTTTGTGTGTGTATTAACTTTGCACTTAAACGGGGGAGAAAAAACCTTTGTTCTGTACAATAATTGAAAAAGAAAAACGTTGGCATCTGAAAAATGTGTTCGCACTCGCAGTGTTTCCTTTGGATGCAGTGTGCTGGTTTCTGTCATTTTGTTTATTTGACTTGATTTGGGTGGGTGCAATTGTGTACACTTTGCTAGGACAGTATGCACAGTTTAGTATGAAAGACTATCTGTGTGTTTGTGTGCAGGTCATGTGTTTATAAGAATGACCAGGCGGTGAAAGAAAACCCCACTAAGGCCCTACAGGAAGAAGAACCGTGTCCTCGTTTTGCTCATCAGCTAGTCTACGACGAGTTGCACAAGGTAATGTTCATTTCATATTTACCATGGGTGTGGTTGCCAAATGATCTACATTTATGATTACTGTGGTGGTGTGGTTTAGGATTAGCTGGTTAAAGATCTGACCTGATAACACAAAGGTTGTTAGGTTTCAACCCCAGCTAGCCTGGAGGAAGTCAACATAACCCTATTTACTTTCTTATTACTTAATAATAATAATAATGTTCCTTGTCTTATTGTTCTATCGTTTTTAGATTTTTTTGTTGAATTTTGTGTTTTATGTTCTTTCAAAGGGTTCTGCAGTAAAAATGTTTTCTCTATTATTATATTCTATTCTATTATATTATATTATATTATATTATATTAATTGTATTATTTTTGTAATATAATCTAACAATAAAAATAAAAATGATATGAATATTACAATAGTAATTTAGTATTCTGTAATATTAAAGGCTTTCGAAAGCTTATTAATAACTAGCTCTTTAATTTAGATTGTTAATGACAAACTGTTTTTAACTGATAATTCATAATTAAAAGGTATCTGGTATCTATTGTGTATCCTTACTTTTCAAAAGAGACTCGTAATAATTCTGTATCGCTGCCTGATTGTAAATTATTAGCTGCTTTCAAATGATTAGGTTGTAAACTATATAATATATACTATAAACCAAATATATATACATACATGTATACCATTTACTACTACTGATAAAAACGAATAACTTTAATTGCTGTACTAATTAATAAAAGCAGTGAGCAGTGGTTTGATACGATGATATGGTACACAGGTGCATTATCTTTTCGGTGGAAACCCGGGGAAGTCCAGCTCTCCTAAAATGCGATTGGATGATTTCTGGTCCTTAAAGCTGTGCCGCCCTTCCAAAGAATATCTGCTTCGACACTGCAAATACCTCATTCGCAAATACAGGTACAAACATACTTTTATCTGAGTTCAAGAGTGTTTCAAAATGCCTCACCCTGGCTCTTAAGAGATATTCATTATTCTGACCTCACAGTTCTTGATTTAGAAATTGTGCTTTAGAATAATATTTAGGTGGTCTGGTCTCTAGTTTCTCTCTCTGTTTGAAGCCAAAGAAAACTGTCAGGTATGCTAAGTTTCCAAATGGCACTAGGAAAGTGTTTAGATGTCTGTTCCATGTTAAACGGTTTGTGTCGATTGTTTAACGCAGTACATGCACTTGCTCTGATCCTGCTGTATTCTGTGTGATCTGAATGTAAACCGTTAGGACCAAGCTGTATTGTTATGTAATTGCAGTGTCATGCAGCACTGCAGTTAGTGATTAAGTTACAGTGGTATTTTTCCATCGGTGCATGTGATTTCTGCTCTCTTAGTGCCCTCTTGTGGCCATATTTGGTTAGTTAATCGAATAATAATGTACTTAGGGATTCTGAAACCTCAAACATGAAATAAATGAGAACAGAATTTCCCCATAACATGTTGTCATGTTTACACAGGCTTGTTGCCTTTTGTGTTTTTGCAGGTTTGAGGAGAAGGCTCAGACCGAGCCCTTGAATGCACTTAAATATCTACAGAATGATTTGTCTCTTACCGTGGACCACACTGACCCCGATGAGACAAAAGAGGTCAGGACCGCTGTAAAAAATGATTAGATTTAATGCTTAAGTGCCAGTTCACACCGATAACTATATTGGCGTCCACACAAGTGGAAGAAATCGCTCTGTGTATTGTAAGCGTTCTGCCACTTCAAATGCTCAAGCTCTGGAAGCAAGATGGATTCTGATTGGCTCTCGATGTTTTTATCGTTCATCTCTGTGCTATTCTTTTATATTTAGAAAATGTTTTGAACTAAATCTTTATCTTTATAGTTATCGTCCTTTGTGTGAACTGACCTTTAGCGTGTTATTAACAAACAATAAACTTCTGCTATTGATTAATTCAGTTTGTGCTCTTGCATGCATTTTAAAAGGTGATTTCAGTTCAAATAAAGCTGTGTCATGTAAGTGCTTTAGTGTGACTAAAATTGTACTGTCACAATGAGCGCGTTTCATATATAAATGTGCTTTTTGTGTTTCTTTCCTGTAGTTCCAGCTCTTGCCCTCTGCTTTGTTCAAATCCAGCTCAGACTTCATTCCTCTAGGTGAGCGCTTTGTTCAGATTCATTTCATGAACATGATTGTCCCCCAGTCATGTTTTTTTACTTTAAGTTGCTCAAATATATTTAATAGTGCTTTGATTTTTAATATTGATCTTTTTTTCTTTTCTTCATCACAGGCTTTTCAGATGTGGATCAGACGTACGCCCAGCGCACTCAGCTGTTTGACACACTCGTCAATTTCTTCCCTGACAATATGACCCCACCCAAGGGTAACCTTGTTGACCTCATCACCCTGTAGCCACGCCCCACACATTAGGCCACACCCCCGATAGACCTCTCAGACTCCTCCCACCAAAAACAGAAGTTATTTTTCTACATTTTCCACCCGAGGTGTGCCATGCCCACCTACTGTGTTTTCTCTTACAGATGTAATACCACTTAAACGTCACTGAGACTTATTTAATATGCAGAAATATAATTTTCTACTCTGGAGTGGCAGGGTTGTTTTTTGTTTTTTTTAAAAAAGGTGTCAGAATTAGGTTTAAATTTGCATATCTGCCAAATTGCGAACTGATTTGATTTTTTTTTAAACAATTTTTTTCTGCTCAGTCTATTTCAGTTTTATCTTTTAAATATTCTCTCATACAGTTTGCAAAATAGGTGAGTTATACATCCAAGCAGTTTACATCATAAAGAGGTGAATTTGATTTATGAACTGTGTGATCATCATGGGTTCCTTTCTGCCTTGCTATTTTAAATCACATTTTAATGGACAAACGTGCGCTGAGCCAGTGAAGGCCTGGGGCAAAGATCAGAGCGCCCTCTAGAGTCAGTTCTGATTTGATTACACATTTAGATGAATTCTGAAGGAATCGTCCACTCAGTGCTGGATTTGATTACTGGCTTCCATCTAAACCTGCTGCTGCTATTGGATGCCATGACATTAGTGCTTTCTTTGACTCTTTAATATATTCCATAACTATAAATTGTCATCCACAATTCTTACAAGGAATATAGTGATATGTTCGAGATGTAACGTACACAAGAAGTGTTTTCCATTCTGTATGTGTGTAGGAACGCAAATATTAGTAGCACATTCATGTATGGCAACACTTTGTACTTTATAACAGGTTATTACACTCATATCCGTTAGCAAATGGATTTGCGAAACACTGCTGCAATTAGACGAACCGAAGACATGGATGAATTGAATTTTTGAAGTGTAGATTGCTGTTTACTTAAGGTTGTGGCTGCTTTTGTCCAAACTCAATGTAGTCCAGTTCACACTGCTGTGTTACATAGACTGTTCAGCGGACTGGTACCAACACAAAGGAGCCTTATTGGGACCACCGAAGACAGAAAAGACCCCTCACTATTTATTATTAATATCGTTATTATTTCTTGGTGAACTTGAGCCCTGAATGTCATGTGTCTTATGTTCCGTCTTTCTCTATGATGTCATAGAGATTTTTGTATGTGCCCTTCATTCCGTATGAGCTTCCGGATTGTATGAAATCTTGGACAGATTAAAGTATGTTGGACGATAGTCTTCCATATAGTTCCACGTGAGTGTCTCCATCCGTGCGTCTGGATAACTTGGTCTCCATTTGTGCAGTGTTAGTTTAACAGCAGTTGTTATAGAATTGTTTGTGTCCCTGTGCACGAGTAGCAAGTGTTTGCCCTGCAAAAAAAAATCCTGTAATTGGATCGCTCTTAAATTTGCTGTACTTTTGGCTTCACCCACGCAGAAACCAAAGGCTCAAAGGACCATGGGACAGCACATTGTTTCACCCTGCTGATTGTGTCCTCCCAAGTGGGATATCTCAATTCCCTGAACTAGTATTAGCTGTAGTTTGGCCCCTGTGAATCGAGGCGTGCGTCTGTGTGGATGCACTTACGGCGCACCAGAGTGTGGAAGTTTGACTTCTCTGTGATTGGCCCATTTGTGAATTTGTTTTTCTGCACTCTTGGTTTCTTTTCTGGTGTGAAAGCAATTTGGTTTATGATTTATGACTTGTAATCCAGGGCTTTCTTTGCCTTTCGTAGCTAGCATTGTCTTTGTGCCAGGAAGAAAGTTTTTTTTTTTTTTTTTTTTAAAGAGGGGAAAAAAATGAAATCATAGATACACGAGAGGATCGACACTTACAACCGGAGACCTTTTTGTTGCACTCAATGCCAAATACATTTTCTTGCTTTCGGTGTACATTTCTGCAGTGTCAGAGATGAAATGACTCTTCTTTTCCTCTCTCCTGGAAATCGTCATCTCGGCGAGCCTCCCTCTGCTCTTGAGCTAGGGCGCATTGAGATGTCAGCACTACACTGTGGCTCTCATGAATGTGTAGAACATATTAAAGAACTGCATTGTATGTAATGTACATAAAAAATAAAGATTGTATTTTGTTCAATTTTTCCTAAAAATCATCTTGGTCTTCCTTTAACATAGCGTTGACTCGGGATTTGATTTTTTTGTTTGTTTTTTTAAAAGCATTTTAATTAATTTTTCATTTTTAAATATTATATTTACAATACTGTTCAAAAGTGTGGGGTCAGTAAGGTATTTTTTCAGAAAGAAAGTAATACCTTTATTCAGCGAGGATGCTTTAAACTGATCAAAAGTGAGAGTAAAAACAGTAAAATTAGAAAAAAAATCAAATTAATCAAATAAATGCTGTTATTTTCTTTCTGTTCATCAAAGAATCCTGAAAAAGCATCACAGGTTTCACAAAAAAATATAAAGCGGCACAAACCATTGATGATAACGGTAAGACATTTTTCTTGAGCTGCAAATCAACATATTAGTGTTATTATGTGACACTGAAGATGCTGAAAATTCAGCTTTGACTGCACAGGAATAAATTACAATAGATAAGTTATTTTGAATAATATTTCACAATATTACTGTTTTTACTGCATTTTCGTTCAAATAAATAAAATGAACCATAAGAGACTTTTTCAAAAACTTTAAAAAAAAAATCTTACTCACCCCAAACTTTTGAACAGTAGTGTATATCATTTTTTTTATTGTTCAAGATGAAGTGCATCAACATGTCGTATCATCTGCCCTATTGCACTTTGCAAAAAAAACACACTTTAAAAAAAAAATCTTTTTTTTTTTTTTTATTTAAAAAATCATGGCCGTCCCTGTCCATTCTGACAGAGGCGGCTTCCAGTGTATCAGACCCCTGTCGTTTGCACACAGTAGCAAACTGACTTCAAATACAGAATACAGCAATAAATTCTAACTTAATACTTTGGTGGAAGTAGATCAGCTAAACCGAGGAAGCAGTGAATCCTTTATAATGAAAATTGGTGTAGTGCATGCAAATACAATAAAAAAAAATAAAAAAAAATGTTTTGGTGAAATCAACATCAAAACAATTAAATAAAACATCCCCAAACAAAAAGGTGATCAATGTACTAAACTGAAAATTCAAACTAAAGACAGTGGCATATGAATATTTAATATTTGAGTTGTGTTGGATTTAGTGTCAAATGTTTCAGGTTAACAAGCCCGCAAACCTTCATACTATCACAATTACCACAGAAAGATAATAACCGAGGGAAGATAATGCAAAAGTTATCTTGAACCATAGTCTAATTTACCAGGATGAGTTATCCATTGGTCACAGTGTAATTTGGTGCCTATGAGTGTTAATCTTCCCTAAACAGAAAAAAAAAAAGCATTATATACAAGCGTAACAATTACATTCCTCTCAAGAATTAATACAGGGTTTCCACGGTACTGAATTAATGTGATTTCCAAAAAGTAATGTAAAGATACTTTGTGAGTGCTGATTTTTAAAATCACATTATTGGAAAATTCATGGAAAAATCATGGACATCCACTGATCAGAAACTCTGTGAATCCTGAATATATCACTAGACAAAAAAAAACGAGAGCAATTTGCACATGAAACTTAAACTAGACAGTGCTTGGTGGCATTTTAAGGCATCATGAGGCACGCCTCCGATGCGAAGGCAATGCAATTGCCACATTTTGAACAAATTCTAAGGCAGTCCCAGAATGCACTGCAGTGGGAAAAAAATTTTTAAGATGGTGAGCTTAATCACATGAAATATAAATTCTAAATTCATTTTTTAATTAGTACAGTATTTTTGAACCAAATCTGTTTTAAATTTGAAACGGGCTGGATAGTTAGCTAAGCAACATGCTAACATCAAACTATTGGTTTTAAAATAAGAGTGATAAAGAAAAGTTAAGGCACATTGACAGGACATTTCCCTTTCCCATACACAGTGACACACAAAAGGTTCTAGCACGTACTTGACATCTAACTACTTCATTACAGCATGTACATCCGGGAACCAAATGAAACCATTGTTGTTTGATAGTCTTTACATCAATCTCTGCTTTTCCTACATTCTGTCTGGTCACAATCTACCATTATGAGAGCAGCAGGTTTCGTCCGGTGCCATTACAAGTGTGTGTCTTCTTCATCAGGTATGTCCTCTTTCAGCAGGTTGTCTATGGGGACGATCCAGCTGTCGTTGAACTCCCCGTTCAATGCCAGTTTCTTCTCTTGCATCTCCGGCTGTACCTCCATCACCTCCAGTGTGGGATTGTCATGATAACCATTCTCCACTGTTTGCATCTCTTCCGTCAGGTGTTGCTATCCAGGTAAAAGTATATGTTGGGATGTTAAACAGCGTAACACTTTGGGATTCAGGGCGTAACTTTAAACTTTGACATTTAAAGGACTCGAATCATTCAGAACATTGTTTCAGAGTTCAGAGCTCAAGTAGTGCAAAAAGGCCATTAGCTGTATTTATTGAAACTAGAGGCTGACCCAAACAATGCAAGTACGTCTGACTCGTGTTTGTGTTTGGAATTGAGTATTACCTGGTTCTTCCTGTAGGATCTGCGATGATAAGTGCAGTACGCAGCAAAGCAGCACAAAATGAGCACCAAAGCGCCACTCGAAGCCAAGATGGCAATCAACGTGTCTGGTATCGTCTCCTCGCTAACCTCCTTCACTTTCTGCCAAGAAAAGGTGTGTTTGAGAATAAACAAACTTCCTGAGAGAGTCACAGTATTGTTGTCTGTTAATCGCCTGACCTTTTCTGGAGGTTTGTAGCTTTCTGTCGGTATCTTTTGGTCGGCTGTAAATGGAAAAGGAAGGGAATTACTATAATGAAATTTTCTGTACTTATGTTATTAAAGATAACTGATCCTAATATGGCAAGCACTGAATCCAGTGATTCCTCCAGATGAGGCTCTAATATGTTTGGAAACCGTAACATTTCCCTCACCGTTTATTTTTACTGTTGCAATTAATTGATTGCCTTGAATTTCCAAGGTGACCGAGCAATTTCCTTTCACCTTCTTACCCAGCTTCTTACAGGTTTCAAAAACGATGTTCCCCTGTGGAAAACAAAACAAATATGCATGTTTTGATCATTTTTAAGGAGAATCTAGGTTGATTTTTTGAAGGGTAGTCAGTCAATTTGCATACTGCTCCATTTCATATATTGTTCTGTAATTGATTTTACCATTACCAGGTCAAACATCTCCCTTGTGGTATTTTTCTATAGAGGGTCTTAATATTGAATTATTAGTGAATTTTAGTATGGAAATGTGCTCTCACCTCACTGCTGCTGCTCAGATCAAAGACGGGCTGCAGAAGAGAAAATAAAGAACACGATCATGTGCTGGGTCAAGAATGTAACCAATATACAAGAAACCAAAACCATAAATGTTAGTATTTTACATAAGTGATATTTCCAGGAGTTGAGGTGCTAGTCGCAGGATCAACTGATGTGATCGGAGCAGAAGTTGCTTGTGCTTCCGTCGTCTGAATACTTTCAGAAACAGCCGATGTAGAGTTTGGTGCTGCTGTGGTGTGGACATGAAAAGTAAATGATTTGTATTAGTCCAAACTAAAACTACATTGTTAAAACAACATCATTTACTCGCCCTCATGTCAACTTGTTTTTGTGGAACACAGCAGAATATTATTTTGAAGATACAGTGCTCTTTCCCATACAACAGAAGCATATGATGACCAAGAACTGTCAAGCTAAAAAAAAAGTGCCATAAATTACCATAAAAGAATAGCGCTCACGTCACAATTGAAAATCTTGTACGTTTTGTAACTTTGTAACACACTGCTTCTGAAAATTATTCAGAATAACTACAGTTGTAATCGAAATTATTCAACCCCCATTGCAAATCGGCCATAGATTGTGCATTGACATTGTATGACATGTATAAAACTCCGAATTTTCCCTTTCCCATAGACTGTGAAGCACAAATCTTTATGCTTTTCTGCTATTTCTAGCACATATTTGACATTTAAGTACTAAATTACAGATGACTTAATGCTCTTTCCAATACAACAGGAGCATAAAGAGACCAAGAGGAAAAAGAACAGCAAGAACATTCTTCGAAAGTGATGCTTTTGTGTTCCATGGAAGAAAGAAAGCCATACGACTATGAAAGGACAAGAGGGTAAGTAAACCACAGAATTAACATTTATAAATATTTAAGCGCTGTTCAAGTTGTGCAGTCATGCTATTGTGATTAATGTGACTCACGATTAGTGGTGACAGCTGATGGCTTTGCCTCGTTGACAGGGGTAGTTCCACTTTCTTTATGGGTAGTGGTTGCAGGTTTATTTGAGCTGGTGGTATCTTGGCTGGGTGATGGTGTGTTTTGAGAACTGAGGTTAGATTCTTTAGAAGTAGCTTTTGTGTTGGTTGTGGTGGGTTGAATTGTTGTGATTTGGGTTGTGTCTTGTTGGGGTGAATCAGAATCAATGCTTTGTTGCTGGGTCGTCTCTTCTGTAGTCAAAGATGTTAAAGATGTGTCAGCGTGACCTATTGTAGGTTTCAGTGAGGTGGGGCTCAGTGAGAGGGGTGTAGAGGGGCTCGATAAGATGGTTATAGTAGGGTTTAATGAGGTGATTGTACTGGGGTTCACTGGGGTGGGTGTAGTAGGGTTTGATGAGGTGATTGTACTGGGGTTCACTGGGGTGGGTGTAGCAGGGTCCGATGCGGTGGGTGTATGGGTGCTCTTTAAGTTGGATGTAGGGGGGTTTGATGAGGTGGTTGAAGGAGGATTCGGTGAGTTGGTTGAACTGGGGTTTGAAGTGGTGGATGAAATGGAATTAGTGGTGTTCTGTGAGGTGGTCAGAGTGGAATCCGCTGAGGCGCATTGCATGTCATGCAGGAGGGCACCTATGAGGAACAAAAAAAACCCTATTTGAAGTGTAGGAATATACTGCTCTGCAAACTCAGCATTTCTTATTGGTTCTGTGCGATTGCTATAATGGGGAATTATACAGTAGGTACACAGCATCAGTGCTATAAACTCCGTTTTTGCATGTTGAAATAGAACAGAGTGAAAGCTGCTTTTTTTCCATGCTAACAAGTAGCTTCATTGCTGATGAGTAAATGCACACTGGAACTATGATTTAAACAGAACTATTAGTGTTCTATATCAATTGACACAAAAGTAACTACTGAATTTTGTTACTTTTTATGGAGTATTTTCGCTGTTTGTAAATAAACACTCTAAACCAGGAATCAAGAGCTGAGATTAGTTATTTAAACAGTCTGGATACTTTTTTTTTGTGGATGTAGTTTTACCTTTAAAATTTTGTTCTCCAGAGTGAAATGTCCTAATTCCTGTTTTATCACCATCATCATCAGTAAAATTTTATTAATTGTATGCTTAAAATGGCATTGAACATAATTTAATTATATATATATAATTATATTAACATATCATTTAAACAGACCGTCTTGTATTTTGATTGCATGCTATTTCCTTCCTTCCTTAGGTATCAGACAGCCATCGAAAAACAGTACGTTTTCATTACTAAGTTTGAATGAATTCTGTCAAGCTCTGATTTTAAGTTTTCTTTTTTTGTGCACCTACGTTCTTTTTTTTTTTTAAAAGTATCTATGCACCTCATATTGTTAATATTACGTCTTGATGTCACATTGTTATGGGACTTCATCTCTGTTGTAGTGAGCTTGACAGGACACTCCATACAATAACTTAGGAAGTAACACACCTACTCTTATGGGCGGAACCATAGATGCCAAAACAATGGTGTCCAAATTTGTTTCATAGTCTCTTGAGACTTAATACAATAGTTTTTCCTTAACTTGCAGCTCTCAAGTTCATATTTGCTATTCAACAGACTTCTACCTTACTTGATCCAGTGTTTATTACCACACACACATTATTATAGTACTTAAGCTTATTATTTAAGCTACAGCTGTCTTAAACATACAGTGTGTATATATATATATATATATATATAATGTGTTGTGTAACTTAAAATAATGGGAGTCAGTATTCATGACAGTAAGCAGAGATCTCTGTCAAAACATCATTGGCTGCCGCTGATTCCAGACACCATGGCGGCTATTTACTATTGTAATAAGTGACTTAAACTCCTACATTTAACACTATTAATGTCCAGTGTTGGTGTAGTTCCTAATGCTTTTTACCAGAACTGAGTGGCCACCCAGGATGAAGATCTTGTAAATCTTGACCTAATGGGATGTCGGGACAATCAGTAAGTGGTTGTTGTAGAAACGGGGTTGCTGTCAGGATGGGGGGTAGTAATGAGAGGCTGTTTATTTTGGTTGGTGAACCAGTGTTGTCTTTCATTTAGCCCTCTGTCTAATCACCATCTTATCACGCAGCCTCGCATATCCAAAAATACGGCCACTGCTAATCAGCATGGCTGCCTATCACAGCTCCAGACCTAATGGTGTGTTCACACCGAACGCGAATTTAATTATTTGCGCGAGTAGATTACATACAAAGTCAATGCAAAGACGCGAATAGACGCATCATTCGCGCCGGGCGTTGCGAATGACGCGAATTGGGCGACGCGTTTGCCGCGAATGTCTGCGCAAGTTGAAAAATTTGAACTCGAGCGAATGTTCAAGCGTCTAACTAGACGCGATTGACGCTCTATTCGCGTTCGGTGTGAACACACCATAACTGTGCGTTCACACCGCCGGCGGCGAGAGCGTCAAAGTGGCCGGAAGTCATTCATTTTCAATGAGAGCCGGCGGCTATGGCAAGCCAAGAGGGTCAGAATTACGCTATAGATTAATCGCGTTTACAGCCAAACGCCGTAAAATACGGCGTTTTAAAACGTATTTCGCGCGTTTTTTACGCCGTTGTAATTACAGACGCCGTAAAAACCGCGCGAAATACGTCAATGACGCCGTATTCCACGGCGTTTTATTGTGCATGGAAAGCGCCGCTTTTTACGCCGTTCATCTTGCCATATGACGGCGTAAAAAACGCCGTTTTGGTTGAACAGAGCGCGCGTTATTTTACGGCGTTTTGCTAATAGTATAATGAGTCACGCCCACTGTTTTACACAGCCAGTAAGTTTGAACTGTTCTCTCCCAATCAATGATGAACTGAGTCAGACCAGACCAATTCAGCACGGATCATTATAGCCAAAGATCATTCGAATCTGTGAATGGTTTATAATTTGTTGTGTATAGCCTACCTACACTCACAATAAAAACAAAACATTGCTTGTATAATGAAGAAAACAAACAGCTTTCCTTTCCGTGAACTTGCCTCTCAAAAGCAATCATTTTCACCATGAATCGAAATAAATTTTGTGTATAGATATAGGCTATTTATTCCTTTTATAGGCTATGATTTTATCCTGTTTTTTTTTCTTGTTCACAGAAGTGCTACAGGTGCATACGATGATGCTTCTGTTCTTTATGCAGCTATTTGTGCATGCAGGCTAAAACTAAACCCCTGGAAAAACATGTTTGTGTGTTTTAATGGGTCACAGACACGTGTAAATTTTAATTTAACAATCTTGTCGGTTAATGAATGGAGATGATCGCGTCGGTTGAAGGTCGCAGGGGAAAAAAAACCCTAAATGAATCCAATTTGTTGATAAAAGGAAACATTTCTAATTTTCGTTTAGTTTAAGTTGTTCTACTAATACTTATATTTTCCTTTATTTCCGGTTTATGTCGATTAGCATAACTGTTTTTAATAGTTTTAGTTTTAGTAAACTAACCCTGAACATCCACAGATCTGTAGCCTAAATTTTGCTATTTTAAGACACTAATATTTACAAATATATATATATATATATATATATATATATATATATATATATGTGTTTGTCATAAAATAATTTACCAATGCATTATTTTTATAGACTATAACCTAACCTTTTACAGTTTTGGAAAAATAGGCCTACATTTTTTGCCTAATTTTTGCTTAAAAAATAAAGCATTCATAAATTATTTTATGATAAACATATTACTGTCTTAAGTGAACTCGTTTATAGTTATACACTCTAATAATAATAACAATAATAATAATTATTATTATTACATTTCAGACTTTTACATTACATTTAAATGAACAAATTAGAAATGGGTGCATGGAGGAATAGCCTCCCATACTAAAGCGTATGTATAAATCTTGCCGCAAAGCACCGGCAAAAGTAGGCTAATGATAATAAATGTTTCTGAACAAATAACGAGGTATTTTAATTATTTATTAATAAACTAATGTTTTCTAAATCAGGCAGCTAACATATCTCCATCTCCGCTGTAAAGGGGATGCGCCAGAGAGAAATGCACCTTTCATACGGATTATGATTACGATATAAATAATATTCTATAGTAGGCTATATATTTTTATAAATAATTGATATATCCTATATATATATAATATTATATATAGCCTATATACGATATATCTGTGTCTGTGAGGCTATACGCTGTTTTTCAGTTCATTTGAGACGCGATCCAGTTCACGGAGAGCATGAAAGTTATTTTACAAAAGCACATTGTTTTCTTGTTATTGTGAGTTTACACAAATATATTTAGTTGCGAATGATGTATTATTCTTTTCTGTATGACCAGAAATTAGGGAGTATTTTAAGTTGTTTCCATGGTTGTTAGGAAAACGAAAGTGATGCAAGTCACCGGCGCCTCCATGTCATGCAGGCTAAGCGCGCTCCACAATAATGGTGGAATATGCTGGAATAGACGATTTAATATGAATGATGAGCGTCAAAATCTTGTGGTTATTTGTGATAATCCTAGCCTTTTATTATTATTGTCTAAATAATAAATTATTAGACTGACATTGTGACTGACTGACTGACTGTGACTGTATTATGACTGACATTTGACGAATTGCTTTGTTCCTTTCTTGTAAGTTTTGGACAAAAATGTCTTCTAAATATGTAGCCTAAAATGTAATAATAATAATAATTATTATTGTTATTATCATTATTTGAGTGTATAACTATAAACGAGTTCACTTAAGTAATAGGTTTAGGCCTATATCATTAAATAATTCATGAATGCTTTATTTTTTAAGCAAAGATTATGCAAAAAATGTAGGCCTGTTTTATCCAAAACTGTAAAAGGTTAGTTAGCCTATAAAAATAATGCATTGTTAAATTATTTTATGACAAACATTTATATATTTGTAAATATTAGTGTCTTAAAATAGCAAAATTTAGGCTACAGATCTGTGGATGTTCAGGGTTAGTTTACTAAAACTAAAACTATTAAAAACAGTTATGCTAATCGACATAAACCGGAAATAAAGGAAAATATAAGTATTAGTTGAACAACTTAAACTAAACGAAAATTAGAAATGTTTCCTTTTATCAACAAATTGGATTCATTTAGGGGTTGACCTTCAACCGACGCGATCATCTCCATTCATTAACCGACAAGATTGTTAAATTAAAATTTACACGTGTCTGTGACCCATTAAAACACACAAACATGTTTTTCCAGGGGTTTAGTTTTAGCCTGCATGCACAAATAGCTGCATAAAGAACAGAAGCATCATCGTATGCACCTGTAGCACTTCTGTGAACAAGAAAAAAAAAACAGGATAAAATCATAGCCTATAAAAGGAATAAATAGCCTATCTATACACAAAATTTATTTCGATTCATGGTGAAAATGATTGCTTTTGAGAGGCAAGTTCACGGAAAGGAAAGCTGCTTGTTTTCTTCATTATACAAGCAATGTTTTGTTTTTATTGTGAGTGTAGGTAGGCTATACACAACAAATTATAAACCATTCACAGATTCGAATGATCTTTGGCTATAATAATACGTGCTGAATTGGTCTGGTCTGACTCAGTTCATCATTGATTGGGAGAGAACAGTTCAAACTTACTGGCTGTGTAAAACAGT